CTGCCTCCGCGCCGCGCCCTTGCTCCCGCAGCCGCTTCGCCGGCCCAGGCCCATGCCGCGCCTCCCGCTCGCCCGCACTCGCGCGCCTGCTCGCTGTCGCACTGCGCCACGCCGCGACCGCGGCAGAGAAATTCCGCCGTGTGGCGACCCCACGCCGGCGTCGCCCGCCGTGGCCTGACATCGCGCCCACGCGCCCGCCTTCACCTGCTGATGCCCGTGCGCTCGCTCACTCCCGCCCGCGCTTCCTCTCTTTCCCTCCAGAGCCGAGAGCTCGAGCTCCGCCGCTCGCCGCGCCCACAGCTCCGCCGGCGTCGAGATCCCGCACCACCGCGCCATTCCCCGATTCCTCGCGCCCACAACTCCGCCTCGCCTTCCTTCAACTCACGCTCGCGCTTGCGCCGCCTTCCGAGCCCAGGGTGAGCTTCCCCGCGCCTCGCCACCGACGGCCATGGCGCCGCCGTGCTCGGCCGCCGTGGGACTCCCCCTTCCTCCCCTTCTCCACCCTGCTTAGCTGCCTGCTCGCATTCGCCAATGCCTCGCGAACCTCCTGCGCTCGCTTGCTTGCGCTGCCGTGGCCGGAGATGGCCGCCGGCCTCATGGCCGAGCCGCGCCACCGCGCCTATGCAAACGCCAGCGAGGCGCTCTGCCTCAGCCAGCCAGGCCGGCCAGGCCGAGCCAGGCCGTGGGCTGACGCCCTGTTGGGCCATCTCCCCTCCCTCGCGCTCGGGCCGCGCAGGCCGGTTGTGGCCGTGGGCCAGTTCGTTTCCACGGGCTGGCCCAGTAACGTTTAAGTGATTTGATCTCCATTTATTCTTTATTATTTGAAATCTGAAATGGTTTGAAAAATGTTTGGGTGCTCAAACTTGCTCCAAATTTGTTGAAACAAATTTTGCTAGGTTCCTTATCATCAGATCTACTTGGGAAAATTATTGCATGTCATTTTTGGGATACTTTTCTGTAGGATTTTATTTAATCATGAATATTGCTGATAACTTGAAAAATATGTAGAAAAATCTATAGGCTTTAGAAAAATATGATTCTAAGTTTGTTAATCTTCTTGTGTCATGTACTTCTTAGGAAAAATATGTTTCATGCATGTGCTGTGGAAAAATTTTGAGGTGTAGTTCAAGTACCTTTAATGGCTGATTTTTGTTATTTTTGTTAGAGAGCAAACTTTGTATAAAACATGCATGTGATGATTTTTGTACAGTCATTATATGCTATGAAGAACCTAGGAAAAATATTAATTCTGTTGTTTGACACTTTTCACAGTTCAAAGTATTTTCATGTACAAAATCATGCCATAGCTTGTTATTTTTGTGTAGGCTAATCCACTCATTCAAACACCATGAAAATCTGATGGTAGTCTAATTAGAGTAGTACCATGCTACTGTAATTTTCTCAGATTTTTATAAGCACCAGAAATATAGATTGCTGTTGTAGCCCTAATTAAAAAGGAAATAAAATAATCCCCCTTAATACAAGGTTAGTTAATAATAATAGCTTTGGTGTATCTTTGAAGCATTTGATAAGGTGTGTTGACTTAAACATACTAGTAGTAGAAGAGAATGCAGTAGATGACATGTGCTTGTAGTATAGTTTCTTGGATGATGTTGACTACCTTGCATTTAAACATATCCATTGCATTCATCTCCTTCGATGCACCGATTGCATAAGCACTTACGCACATTGCATCATACAGGATCGCAAACCGAGAACCCAGTCATCATACCCGAGGAGCCAGAGGAGCAGCTCGAGGTGCAGCAGCAGGAAGTGCCAGAAGCCGACGAGGAGGACGTTGAAGAACTTCCGGAGTGCCCCGATCACCGCCCGAGCTCCTTCGAGAAAGGCAAGCCCCGGAGCATTTTTCTCCCGGTTTGCAATTATTTAATTAAATACTTTACCTTAAATTAATGCATTACGTTCAGGAGTTGTTTGCAACCGTTGCTGCATTATACCTTGTTTACCTTTGTTATACTATATCCTTGTTACCCTGGTATCCGCAGTCGAGTCAATGCTTAGCTGGCTTAGACCGGTAGAAGTCGGGTGATTTCCTGTCACCTGCGAGCTATAGGTGGTTACCTGGATCTGCTTGGATGACTATGAAGTCATGGTATAACTAAGTGTTAAATGAAGTTGAGACCGGACGGAGACTTGTAGAGTTTTGGACTGTAGTGTTTCCGTCTGTGTCGATTAAGGACCGATCGTTGTTGGGCCTCGAGTCATGTTGAACGCATGCCTTACATTTAGCTGGCCGGATAAAGTACCTTCCGACCGCGAAGCTGGGAGATTTTTCGGGCCGAGTAGATTGCCTGCAGCGCACTGTGCCGAAGCAGGTGTGGTAGGACACGGGGGCGGGATGATAAGACCAAAGTGCAGTCGGTCGGCCCTCGGGTACATGTGGTTCCTGGCAAACTCGAGATACCTAGAAAGTTGACTCGGTGATCAATATCTCACTTTAGCGGGTGAGTGAGATTTGTGTAAGGAATAAATCACCAGCTGGTTAGGAATCGATTCGAATCGCCATCGCTCCTGGATAGTGAGCACTTGACTTGAGTTACTTCATCGTAGTAAATGTTTATGGAACACTTGGACAGTTATAGTGAATATGACAGTATGGAAGTTGTTTAATGATCAATGGTTATCATTAATTGCTTAATCACATGTTTACTCTAGTATAGATGCAAATATAGTCGATAAGTTAATAATAATTAAGTTGGCAATAACGCTTTTAGAAAAGTTATGGAAATGCTAAAAATGCTTCTTTTGCAAATGAGTCAGCTACCCTACTATAAAGCCTTCATAATCCTTGGTGTCATTTATTTTCGGTTATGTCGGGTAAGTCTAGCTGAGTACCTTCTCTTACTCAGGGTTTTATTCCCACTTGTTGCAGATGGGCAGATGTATTACGGCTATTGTATCAACTGCCTTTATCCTGCGATGGGTGATGCTTAGGACCATGGGCAGGGTCATTCCTTACGTCTCGTCTGATGCTTTTGTTGGAGATGATCATTCGCTGGCACTATATTTAAACTCCGCGTGAGTGTGTGTGTGGTTTGAACAAATGGCTTCCGCTACTTTTCTTCGAACTGGTTTGTAATAACTATGTTTAAACTCTGATGTATTTGAGATTGCGAACTTTTATGTAATATGTGATGGTGACCGCTAAACTTATTACGATCTTGGCTGGAATGGAAGTTGGTTTGAAATCCTTCGCGATTTCACGGACTACCGGGTTATACGGGCTTAAGTTTGCTAAATCGTCTGCTCTAGCGGATGATTTTCTTACTTAATTTCGTATAATTGGTCGGTTCTGTTACACCTACCTAAATCTCCACATAAACCTTTTTAGAAGTAGGAGAAAACAAAAGAAAGCAAAACATTGCTATGCGTTGGCAAGGATTTATACACCATTGAGTGATTTGAGAGTGCCATTTGAGGAGTATAAAGTGAACTATGTTTTTGTTTGAAAAAACTTTAAAAACTCCATGTTGCTAAGATGTGAAATTGGGAGATGACTTTGTTTCAAGAACTGTTCCACTCCGAAGGAAACATGTTAGCTAACACAACAAATCCCACTTGTGTAAAGAATGTGTTGGATAACTTTTATGTGAAGCCATATATCTTCGGATGTTATGCTCATGATTACTTTTTATCTATAACTTTGCTCGAGGATGAGCAAAGGGCTAAGTGTGGGGGAGTTTGTTGGTGGTCCTTAACTCACACTTTTAACCACCAACACTTATATAAAATCCATCCAAACGAACACCAAACTTAGAAATAGGGCTCATAACTGACAAAGTTCCATGAGTTTTGTTGATTCACCAATTGCAGGAGGACATGTTGGGATAACTCAAGAAATGAGTCAAAAGTATACAAAGAACATAGCAAGACAAACACCCAACATGAGCCCAAGGGGAGACAGCCCACTTACCAAGCAAATCAGGGCCTAGTCCGGTGGAGAAAAAAGGCCAAAACCCATATCAAGTCAACTACAAATGGCGCTAAACTCTACAGGACCCATGTAGAGGCCCAAGGAAAGGAACCCACCAAAGATGGGGTCATTTGGGCCTAGGTGCGGCCACACCACCTCTGGTGTCTCTCAGGCCCACTTTTGGCAGGTTGTCAGTTACCGCCTTTGCAATGATGGTTCCATAGGGGTTGGCCAGGTTCAACGTATCTAGGACGTCGGTTTGAGGTCGGTTTGGTGCTTTAATGAGGGGATCAAGCATATTCCAAGGATGATTCCCTCCTCTCCACCTATAAAAGGAGGCGACTCCCTCCTCATTTGAGAACAACACTACAGGGAAGAAGAGCACACCTCACTTGAGCTAGAGCACCACTCCAAGAGCGCTTAGGCCCTAGATAGCTAGCTAAAGTTAGTAGGGAGAGATGTGAGGGAAGAGTATGGGGAAGCATCGGGCTTGTCGATATCTCCCCAACTTGTACCTTGATGAGCACTTGTACTTCAACGGGTTCTCCCGCTAAGTGAGTGTTCATGGTTCTTATGGTTACAAGTCTTTTGATTAGTTAAGCGTTACCCTTATTTGCTTGTGGGTTCATCATCCGTCCTTGTGATGGATACTCTAGTAGAGGGCCCTGATAAAGATGGATAACCCTACGCAACGCTAGAGTAGTAGTCGATAGCATAGACATGGTGTCTAGGCTAGAGTCTACCTTCATTTGCCTCATACTCCATAGTTGAGGAGTAGGCGGTAGGTGGTGACAGCCCTATCCATCCCTCGTAATCCCCCACATCCGAGTATGGTGTAAAGCCGTAGGCGGGATCACCTCATAGACCAGGTGCGCTCCAGTGCCCAAAGTAAGTGCAAGTAGAGTTTATCTTCTCATAGACCCAAAAGCCATAGGACCCTTGGGTTGTCCTTAGATGAATTAGCTAGAAGAAGTACCTCTGTTCCCTATGGAAAATACGATACCCTGAATACTTCGGTGCGCTTGCGGAATCTTTCTATTCGCATTAAGAAATACCAACAACCTTCCTATGGCTGGGAAGAAGATGCAGGTCTCCTTTTTCTTTTCTTGTTGGCTAGCCCTTCCTGGACCAGCTGCTTGTCGCTCCTAAGGCCCCTACGACATCGAAAGGCTGCCACTTCTTCCTCTTCATCGGCGGGTTCAGATGGTCTACCACCACCCATCACCACGGCCATTTCGGTGGTCCCTCGTGGCCGTCGAGAGCCCTCCACACTGGTCGGCCAGTCTAGGCTCGGTGGATCCAAGACATAAACATCTCGGTCCTGCATAGCAACAAGTTATAGAAGATAAGTATACATCAAAGACATAAAAAGAAGTGATAGCTAAGCTAGTTCGGTCTACTTACTTGCAGGCACAGATGACTAAAGCTATAAGGCCTTTGCTGGTGTCTGTTCCCTAGCATTGTGTTTGCCATAAAGAACTTTGAAGCCCACTCTCCAATCTCCTCATTCATCAGCTTTTCGGGCACCTCTCGCGCAAAATCCTCATCTCGGTATTCATATGCGGGATGCACTCTCATTGCATGGCTGGATCCACCGACCGATGAAGTTAAGTTTCGCTCCAACTCCATCAATGTCAGTATGGGCGAGGATATCAAGGAGCTCCTCCACCTAAATCATATCATTGCCGGTCGGCCTCGCCGTCCAATTGAGTTTCGGCCACGCTGGACTATCAATATTTGCAGAGATGTCGTCCTCTACATTCTCCATGTAAAACCACCTCGACTTACAACCTTTCATCAATGTGTTTAGTAGGACTGGTTTATACTCTGATGTCATGTCGTCCTGCAGCACAAGATAGGCCCCACCAACCACTTTGGAGCTAGCAAAGGATTTGAGATGGAAGAAATAGCGAAAAAGATTGAAATGTGGATCTATGCCAAGATTGGCTTCGCATATATTGATGAAAATGGATAGATGGAGGATCCTATTGGGATTCAGATGGATAAGCCTAATCTCGTAATAATCAAGGAGTTTGCAAAAAAAAGGATGCGCCGGTAACCCGAATCCCTGTCGATAAAAATCCTCAAAAACAACCAATTCACCATCAAGCGGGGTTGGGAAGCGTTCACCTGCTGCGGGGCACCATCCCGCTATCGTTGGTCCATTAGGATCCCATCAATCACCATCTCCTCTAGGTCCACTTGGGTACTGCTCGACTCCACCCACTCTTTGCTGTGGGGATTCACCTTGCGGGTGTTCTTCCTCGGCGCCATCGGAATGGATCTGGATCTTGAAGCTAGCAGCGCTCGATTCGCTCTAAGAAGCGGGTTTGGGTGCTGGTGGCACATGGAAGAATGCACGGAAGAAGAAGAATGGCGGCGGCGAAATGGAGGTTATAGCTCGAGGAAGAAGAAGCAAGGGGGTGGAAATATGCAACTGTTGGTGCGAAGTGCAGGAGTGCGCCGCGCGGGGTGGCTATATAAGGGTTCGCCCCGACGCTCCGCCTTCTAGGGTTTTTGGGAGGACGTGTCACGCCGCGCGCGTCTGCCCCCTGCATTCACGACGCGCTTTTCTCGGCTTCTCCACGGGTTCCATTTAATGGGCCGCTTAATGGGCCGTCAGTTTTCCTTCCCCAAGAAGGTGTCAATGGGCGGTGTAATTTCCTTTGCTCCGATAATCGCTCCTCAATGATTTGATGATTAATTTAGGATATGTACTAAGTGCAATTTGTCTCTATTATCTGGTATTCCAATTATGTTACTTTTTCTTTGACCCTGCTACCAGATAAATGCTTTATCTTCTAACATGTTCGGGGACTAACTGTGCACACTTCACCTAGCGGTTCGTGTACTTATTTGTTTCGCAGTTAGCCATACTCAGCTAAGCTCGGGACAGGCCGTATTCTCAGCTACGCTGGGGACTAGTCGTATTCTCAGCTAAGCTAGGAACTAGTGGCATTCTCAGCTAAGCTGGAATTCACCACGGTTTTTTGCTGAACATTTGGAAGCTCTTAATTTTTGATCCTGACACCAGGTGTATTCTACACTTAATCTCAGGCTCAGGGACTACAGTATGTACACTACACCTGGCGGTGCATGTACTATTTTTTCTTCGAATTGTTTTGATTGAGTCAAAGTTGTTGATTACATGCCTCTGCTCTGCTATGATGACTAAGTCATCGGACTCATCACAATTGACATCTAAGTGTGTACACTTCATCTAAGATGATGAATTTTTTAAATTTTCTAGAGCTCCTTACATCCTATTGGTGGGCCTTATTTGGCTAAGTCCGATATCTGCCACCCAGTTAAACTGGTCGGTAGGTGTATTTACTGGTAGGCCAATCGGGTTAAACTGGTTGGCGTCTGTTTCAACCGGTCTGGTTACCAGTTAAACTGGTCGGCTTCAATTTTCACTGCTCAGGTCATCAGTTAAACTGATCGGCTTTCTGCTAGACTTCTCGGACTTGATCAAGACGGTGTAACCAAGCGGATACAAAGCGCTCGGGGACTAGCTATGGGGGGTACAACGTCGGGTACCCACGGCAACAAACATGGACTGCGCCGCTAAGGATGGTCCAGCCCACAAGATGAAGGCTTGCAGCGCACGGCACAGCTCGCCGCACGCTGCAAAGCACCCCGGCAATATCCGAAAGATAGCATAGGGTCTGTTAGTATATGCCATTTGTAAGATTCCATATAAAGATTATCTCTTACTTGATTAGACTTAGATCTGATCAGCATGTAACCCTACACTTAGTCTATATAAGGCAGGTAGGGGACCCCTCAAAACACATTCAATCACACACGATAGCCAATATAAACCGACCGAACACAGGACTAGGGTATTACATCGAGCTGACGGCCTAAACGTGTCAAATCTTGTGTCTATCACCATCTCGCTCTTGTTCACAGGCACCTCTCGGATCAATCTACCATCGTGGATATACCACTGTGAACTATCGACGATATTTAGTCGACAAGGTATTATAAGGCTAGGGTCTCACCATTTCTCCGTTTGGTGACAATGGCGAGTTCGGTCCCACCGTGCTGAGCTCTTCAAAGACAGTGGTGAGTTTGGCTTCGGCCATGCTTAGCTGGTCGGTCAGCGCTAAGTTCTCTGACTCCAGCTGCTTCACACGTGCCTGAACCGCTTTCTTGTCGCTATGGGCGTCGGCTAGCATTTTCTCCAACGCCTTCACTGACTCCTTTAGCCTCTCATTTTCGGCAATGGCTGGAGTAGCCCGCTCCACTTGGCTCGCGTGATGCTCTGTTGTCCTCATCAACGCCTGTAGAAGCAACAAATTCAAGATTGCAATCCACAATAACAAGTAACAACACAGATTGGCTTACTTGTATCTGGCTATTCGCTGATGCAAGGGTGGCCTGGATCTTTTCCATCTGTTTGCTGGCCTCTTCCTCTTCCACCAAGTCTAGCCTATCTCCTCGGCGCACAAAGGTTCGTGCGACCCGAGGAGCCACTTCCCCGGGAAGTGGTGGTTGCCTGTTGATCTCCACTACCTTCTCGGGGCTTCCCTCGATCTGCCTGGCCTCTCGTTGCGCTGTGGTCCGATCGGCGCACCGAGAGCCAACTCCAAATGAGGTGCTTGGGGACCGGCTGCTTGTTCACTACCAGTGGCTGACCCACGCACCTTGCCTTCATTTATCGGCTCTAGGGGCCGGGTGATGATTACTTAGTATTTCAAGAGCCAAAGAAATTGAAACAGACTATGAAAGCAATACTTACAGATTTGACCGCCTAATGGAAGGCCTGAATTTGTGTGGCCTGCCGGAGCTTCCTATCCCGACGGTCAGTGCTACCGGTCTCATAAGCTTGGGGATGCTTGCCTTGCCCCCACGGTCCCTACTCCTTCCCGATTCGGTTGTTGCCGGCTCCGTTCCGCCGACCAGGTAACATGCGCCTCTGCTCTGCTCCGCGCTGCCCGTCCCAATCACGCCATTCCTGCCGCTCTCTCGTCTGCATGTAATGTACTCCGTAATTTATTATTCGGTTCACCGCTGCGTCTCGTCCGATGAGATGAGATTCGGTCGGGTCTTTTTCCTGTGTCCGTCACCGTCCGTTCGAGCGGGCAAGAAAATAAAAAGGCCGGCGCCTTTCCTCCGCACCCCAAGCTAGCTGCTCCGGCCGTCGCAGCTTTCTTGGCGCGTCTGCGGGCACACAGCGCCTCGGTTCGTTGGGTAGGAAATCGCCCGCCTTTCGCGGCGTGGTTGCGACATTGGCAAAGCTTCTTCCTTCCTTCCTACCCTCTGTTTCCGCTGCGTTAGCTTGCAAGTTCCTGCCAAAGCGAGGAGATTGCTACTGCGTCGAGGAGCCATTTTCCTTGCAGCCTGCATAGCGAAAGAGAAAGGCAGCTAGGCGGAGAGAGAGAGCCGCAGCGGCAGCTTTTGCACGCCGGCGGCGCATCTTCTTATCCCCGCTAGCTTTAGTTCGTTTCTTGTGGCCAGTGGCGAATCTCGAAAAAAACTGTGACGGCCTCGGTGCAAACTCACGATAGAAATTTATAGTAATCTAACACTATGATACGTGCAAAATATAGGTATAATTGTAAAGCCAGGATGCAAAAATCAAGGATTCATATAAAGGAGCGAAATTAATAATATTATAATAAGATAAGAATAAACTTTTTACAATAGTGATTACCTCTTATAATTTCACTCTACGGGTATGATCATCCAATTCTGGAAACGAACTATGACATCGTCATTTGGGATTCCATCGAGAAATTCTTGTTCCACAAAGCAAACGACACAGTTATTCATAAATTCATCCCCAATACGGTTCCGTAGATCTGTCTTCACAATTTTCACTACTGAAAAACATCTTAACACTGATGCTGTGGCGATAGAAAGAACTAGCACAAGTTTGAGGAGTCGATATACCAAAGGAAAAGCAATATGTTTTTATGTATCCACCATGAATGTACCAAGTTTAAAAATAGTATCCAATTGGGCAAATCTTGCATCGGCTCGCACATTATCAATGTAAATATGAAGCTCAAGACTAAGATCGTCTGGCTCATTTGAATCAAATCACAAGGATATGTATTTGCCAACTCCATCGAACTCTCAAATTTGAAAGCATCAAAAGAATTCTTAGGATTGAAAGCAGCAACATAGGTAAACAATTCAGAATTTACCTCATTAAAATGATCATTAAATTTTGTAAACTACAAATCAATAATTGGGTTCAAACAATCATATTTATAGTGATCATCACAGGGGAATTTTTTCCTTTCAAGAATCCTTCCATTGTGCTTTGATTGGCTATCAAATTAGTGAACACAATTAAACACTAAAATAGATATTGAATAACAGCAAGCAGCCAGCAGCCATGCGTATATTTCCTTACCTGACATGTTGATATTGCTCCAATCAGCCAACGTCACGCCTGTAACCAAGCGGATATCAACATGTCTCTTCTTCTAGCCTAGCACTTTTTGTCGGGCTAGGTACTTCAGTGAGTGGAATGGGGGAAGCAGGGGTAGCCTTGCATGCTGCCCTCTCCCTGAGCGTCTCCCTGTCCTCCTCATCTTCATCAGAATCCGACGCCGCCCTGTATTGCCGGCGGATCGGCTTGAATTGCACACCTCCCCGCGGATGAGAGGATGCTGCAGCACCTCTTTTCCTCTTCTTGTCGGCTGGCCCCTCTTGGACCGGCTGCTTCCCACTCCTAAGTCCTTGGCACCGATCAGGAATGGCCTCCTCTTCTTCCTCGCCATCAGGACCGGTTGATCCTGTGTCCTCTGATGCTGGGGTCGCTGGTTGTCGTCCTCTGCCCTCCTTTCCGGTCAGCCAAGCGTGGTCTGGCACGCTGGAGACATACACCTCCCGGTCCTGTGCAGAAAACATTTGAGGATATGATGCATAAATTACAGCAATAGACTCACACTAGCTAAGCTAGTTGGATTTAGTTACCTTCGGATGAGGGTTTCCCAGGCTGTATGCCATCGGTTGCCCATTGTTTTTTATTATCATGTCAGACGAGAAGAGTTTTGAGGCGCGGATAGTGATCTCGCCCCTTTCCAGCCTCTCGGGCACCTCCCGGACGAAGTCCTCATCCAAGAATTCGTACGCGAGGTGCACCCTTTCCATGCAGGGCTGGATCCGGCGACTGACGAAGTTCAGCGATACGCCGACTCCATCGACCTTGGTGTTAGTGGTCCTTAACGATAATATCCGACTACCAATTACTATCCAAAACAGGAAAAATAAACAAACTTTTAATACATGCATTTATTTTTAACATAGTTCCCATTGTGTTGGAAGAAACATGTTCTGCAGGGCACACATTTGAATTCAAGTGGAAAACAAAGCAAAAGACACAAAACAGAAAACGTAAAGCAGAAGTGCGCAAGGGAAATAAATGGAAAAGCCCACCTACACGTCAAAACTGGGCCAGGCACCACCGGGGGAGCAACCCAGGCCCAGCCAGCAGCCCACCGGAGCAAGGCGATGGCCAGCAGGGCTAGCCAGGATGCGCCCGCACCCCCAGCACTGCCTCTCCGGCCCACCTTGCTCTGGCAGTTGCATGGCGGCATGCATAGGCGGTTTACAGTGGTTTCCTAATTTATCTACGCTAAACCGACCATTAGCCTGTATAAGAAGAGGGGTGGAGCTCTCCTTCAAGACACAATATTTGAGCCAGTGCACCTCCACTTCTCTACTTGTACACTTTTTGTTTTAGCAGTATTTTGCAGCTAGCAAAAGCTATCAAAGAGGGCTTGGCTCATTGGGAGAAAAGAAAGAAAGCTTGGTATGAATACAAAGAGAATTTCTTCCAAAGTCATGCTCTCGTATTATAAATATAGTTGTGCTATAGAATTAGAGTATAGTTCTCATGTTATAATCTTGACATATGAACTAGCATATAGTTTGTGTGTTATGATCTTAACATGTGCAACTTTATGCTTAACCATTCATACGACTTATATGAGTAGAAATAGAGCTAGGAGTGGGGTGGCGGTTCGTCGTTGCTTCGGGTTTGCTCATATTCTTGCTTGTCGATCGGTAGGGTCGTAGTCCTGGGGGATATGGGTAGTTTTCTTGTACACGGGCGTGGTGCTCGGGTGCACAAGAACCTTCGAATATAACAGTACTCCACGGTTGAGGGGTAGGCGGCAGGTGGTGACAGCCCTGTCCATCCCTTGTAATCCCCCATATTCAGGTATTGTGTAGGAGTCTTAAAGTCTCTCGCGTTTGCTGGCAGACTAGTGCTCGGAGATCTCCCCAAGCATCTTAGACTTAGTTCTAGCTCTAATCATGTAATTTGTATGATCCTTAGCTATTCTTTGCATGGCTATATTAGAACATGCCTGCTCCACTTAGGAACATTCTTTTATTCTTTGTTTTTTTTATCCTTGATGTTGGCTCAAGTGTGTGTCCACTATCCTTAATATACCATTTTTACCCCTATCATGAATTATTGGTTTACTATGCAAGTATGTAATCTTGTTCATATCCATGCTAGGCTTTTATACCTTGCCCTCCTTTGAAAAAATATAAACAACGATACCATGAATACTTCTGGATGAAATGTTACAACGATAGATTCGTGTACTTACGGATATTATTTTTGTAATCATTAAGAACTATTGTACAAGGTATTTCTTGGCGGCATCGCTAGGAAACACAAATCTTAGTGGTGTTGCTAAGAAGTGCCAACAAGCATTTCTAGCATCATTGCCGGGGAGGGCATAGGTTAAAGAATCTAGTAGGACATGATCATAATCACATGCATATAATGGTAGCCATAGTTTATGCAAGCTAACTCTGCTTGTTTTCTTCCTATTGTGGATGAAAACAGGATAGTGTATTAGTGGTTTCGACCTGCCAGATAACTACACAGAAAACCCGGAGGCACTTCTAAGAAAGAGCTGGTCTCGTACCGCTTCTTCTTCTATCACTCCACCAGCAAGTGAACCAGTCACCCCTGCACCAGTGGTGAATCTAGAAAAAACTGTGATGGGGTCGGCGCAAACTCATAATAGAAATTTATAGTAATCTAACACCATGATACATGCAAAATATAGGCATAATTGTGAAGCCAGGCTGCAAAAATCAAGGATTCATATATAGGAGCGAAATTAATAATATTATAATAAGATAAGAATAAACTTTTTACAATAGTGGTTACCTCTTATAATTTCACTCTACGGGTACGATCATCCAATTCTGGAAACGAACTATGACATCGTCATTTGGGATTCCATCGAGAAATTCTTGTTCCACTCATAAATTCATCCCCAATACAGTTCCGTAGATCTGTCTTCACAATTTTCACTACTGAAAAACATCTTTCCACTGATGTTGTGTCAATAGAAAGAACTAGCACAAGTTTGAGGAGTCGATATACCAAAGGAAAAGCAATATGTTTTTATGTA